TAATAGATTTTTACTATAAGTTGGATTTAATCTAGACATTGCCACAGGCCGACTTGGCACGTATACCACGAGTACTTTTCCCGGTTCACGTTCACATATATATAATTATTTGAACCGCCAGGCAAGTTCAGGGTCGGCCCGGAACAGTCTGAGGAGAGGCACGCCAAATTTCTGTTTTTTTTTTTAATTTCAGGCCAGGCCATATTGGGACCGTTGATGTACCAAAGGAGCAAAAATCTCGGTTGTCAGACCTTTTTTTACCATTGGAGACCAACGGTCAAATTTTATTTTACTTTTGAAAGACAGTTCCAAGTTCATGTCCAAACTGGCCCGCCTGGAACCTCCAACGGCATATTTTTAAATCTTACCGTTAGATCATCATGACAGTTGAGATCTAACGGCCAGGATTGAACCGACCCATCTGAACGGTCAGGCCACACCCGAACCGGCGGTTCAGTTAATAAAATACAATCCTATAAATAAACTCCAGTTCGTTGAACCCAACGGGAGATATGATAGGGCCGACTATAGCGCGGTGTGCGTAGGTGCCCTCATTCTTATTATTTCCATCCCCTTCATGTATTTCCTTATTGTCCTCAAGGATAAAACTTGGAATTTTGTGGCGGATACCCTGCAAGTTTTTCCAAGTCGCCTCTATCTCCGGCATTTCTTCCCGCTCAACTAGAGCCTCCCAACGAAAAACAGCCACCTCTTTTTATCCTATGATATTCTTTTACTGGACAAATTAGATCAAGTTTGTTAATATGGTTAAACGAAGATGTAACCTTAGAACCCTAATCCATCTTGCTCCTCAAGGACTAACAACCCATGCCTCAATTTGAAGCACATGACCACTCCACATCAAGTCACATAAGGGTATTTCATGTTTTCCACGTGAGAGACCGAGGTCAGCAGGGTATTTTTCTTCGAGGGGCAACAGGATAGTGAAAACTTCTAAATGGTTATAGTCGCAATGAACACAATTGCCCGCATATATATGATTTGTTTCTGGGACATGACCGTCAGTCTGCCACACAGTCGCCATCAATGGAGTCAGTCGTCTCCACCGCTTGAAGTGCTTCTTAGACCCATTTCTTTCAGATTTCGTCGAGACCAAGCCACTTCCCGACTATTGCTTCTGAAATTTTTCATGACCATGTCGCCTCCCAAAATGATCCATCACTCTTTGCGTCTTTATGAGACCAAGCCGCCTCATGACCACCTGCAGGCGTTGGGCCTCGAGTCATCTTTCGATGACCGTAATCCTGGGCAATTACATTCCCGATCATGAAATTTGCCTATGCAAAATCAACACGAATATCTCTACATACTAGCAACTCTACATCAAATAAAGCATCCGCACATAGTATCATTATTCCAAAGCCTGATGAGAATTCTATAATTAACAAAACATTACCATTTCCTTTAATGAACAGGGTGTGGGGAGAAAATTTGTGGCCTAACTTCCCAAATCTTCAATCTACCAGGAATGGCATTGAACATGAACATGTTATCTAGTGGCTTGACATTCACCATAGGAGTGCTCTCTCTTGTTTCATCTCTACAAAATGACCCAAATAGAAGTCATGCGTTTGTTAGTCTCCACTATTGGAGATTTGAGCAGTTAAAGTACATGCGTCAACAATGTTGGGGATTTGAGCAGTCGGGGTACATGTGCCAACGATTTTGGTGCAGAGCTCCAAGTCCCGACCGTTGTCGGTGGCCTCATGAGATTTCAAGCACATCAAAGTTGTCCCCTTCAAACCAGTATAAATTGTCGGGTCCAAGCTCTAATTTTCCCCCTCTTTTCTCGAAATGACTCCAACATATACTACTGGACGCCATCATTTGCATGAAGCTTTGTTGCCCAGACCGCAGAATCCCTAGATTCAGCCGCTGCTCCAACTTGACATAAATGTTTAGAGTAATTTATTTTTGAATCAGCTCTACGATATCATCATTAGATTCGATTCTCATCTTCGTAACTCGAGGAGTTCCTCAAATGTCGCCCACATTATGTAATTTAAATTACAAGAATCAGACATTAATAAAGCATGAGCACGAGAAACAACTTCAGAATACATTTGTTGGCCGCAATTTATTATCATCAACTTTGCAACACCACCAACATAGTTACCCAGAAGTGTAATTTTGAAATGTACGCATACCATAGTGCACGCATACTCTAACACGGTTGCTAACCCTTGAAGTGTAATTTTGAAAGGAAAAAAAAATTAAGTACCAAATAAGTTTGAAAAATGCAGTAGCTATGGATCCTTAAAGCTTGAACAAAAAGAAATGCAGCAGTAAATGATGGAAGAAGAAGAAGAAGAAGAAGAAGAAGAAGAAGAAGAAGAAGAAGAAGAAGAAGAAGAAGAAGAAGAAGAAGAAGAAGAAGAAGAAGAAGAAGAAGAAGAAGAAGAATGGTAGTAAGATTTTGACAAAAATATCCACAATAGCGGATAGTCCTAATTATGCGTCTTTCAATTTGGATATGCGATTCATGAATATGTAATACATTACGCCTAATCATTAATTACACGACATTATAGATTTGTATGTGCGACTCGTTTGCTATGCTGAAAAAAAATAGCATAATCATAAAATATGCGACGTTCGATTTGGATATGCGATACTTTCATGCATATGTTAAATTATACAGTGGATTCAAATATGCGATAATAAAATATATTCGAACATAATTCACATATTTATTAACTATGCGTTCGATTTGGATATGCGAGTCGTAATCTAGGGAACTCGTTTGGCATAACCTTAAATATGCGGCGATCTATCTGGATATGCGACAACTGTATATGTGAAACAATTATTGCAAAATTTTGACTTGAATAAGAATAAATTATGCGATTCATGAATATGCGTTCGATTTGGATATGCGAGTCGTAATTTGTGCGAATTCGTTTGACATAACCTTAAATATGCGGCGATCTATCTGGATATGCGGCAACTGTATATGTGGAACAATTATTACAAAATTTTGATTTGGATAATAATAAATTATGCGATTCATGAATATGCGAACATGTTACACATAATCATTAATTATACGAAGTTATAGATTTGGATATGCGAGTTGAAAACTATGTGAAAATAGTTCGCATAATTCTAAAATATGCGGCAATCAATTTGGATATGCTATAAACTAACATGTGAAACTTTATGCAGTGCATTTTGATATGCGATTAAATAATATGCGTAAGTGTTTCACATACATGGTAACTATACGGTGTATTTGAATATGCAAGTCGTAAAATACGCAAATAAATGCTGCATAATGATAAATATGCGGCTATCAATTTGAATATGCGATTACTATATATGCGAAATAATATCGCTTGACGAAAATTACGCGGTGAATTTAAATATATGATTAACAAATATGCAAATATTTTTCGCATAATTATTAACTATATGTCTGAATTGGTTACGAGTTAGTATATATACAACAAAATTTTACATAATTATTAGTTATGCGGTTCATTTAGATATGTGATTGTTATATCGCATATAATAACGTAAGTTGTGGGATGAAAAAAATAAGTTTTTCATGGGAACAGTGTGTAAAGTATGTGCATGTAAAAGAAGAGAAATGCTACCGTCCCGTTATTGAACTATTCCGTTTGAGTTTGTAACTGTTAGATCATCATGTAACCATTGGGAATAGTTATTCCGACGGTTACAAACTCCGACGGAATAGTTCCATAACGGGACCATAGCATTTCCCGTAAAAGAAATGCACCCTAAATAAAATTATACGCTGCAATCTTAGGTCTGCAAGTTCATCAAAAGAAAAAAGTCGCATACAAGAAGAAAAAGCTACAAGTTCAGAGCCTATACGCATTATTGAGCCCTTATTTTCATAAGTATATACTAGTGATGCATTCACAAATTTGACCTTCTATATATACAAATAAATACTCCAAGTATAAAGATAATAGAAAGCTATATATATAAATACTGGTACACAACATCCTAAACTCTCATTTTGATCTCATAGGCAAAGTTGATATAAATGTGACTTCGGCATCAGGAGAAAAACCAGATCTTCCTTATAAATTTTAACAGCTGCAAAAAACTACTGCCCCTCGATAGCAAGTGGTCTCCTGGTCATGTCACTCGTTTTACCAGCATAGGCAGGGGCCGAAAACGTAATTTCACTCAATCTGAGAACACAATCTTTTTACCGACTCAACATAGGACGTTGATGGATCTCGTTTGCAACAGCCGCCTGCATATTTGTTTTGAGAAACATGAAGTGGAAAAAAAAAAAGAAAAAAAAAAGAAAAATTGTAATCGATCTAATTTACGAATTACGGTGGTGGAAAGAAATAAATAATGTTGCAAAAATATAGACACGAGTAATACGATTAAGCAAGGAAAACGAGCACTTGAAACATTTAGGGGGTGATTGTTTATAGTTTGAACAGTAAAAAAACCAATCAAAACTCAAATTTAACTCAACTTTAACTCAACTTCATTATCTCTTATATTATTAATATAATTAAATAATATCCACCAATCATTTTTACACATCACATCAACTTTAATTCACTATTCATCCACTCACATAATTTTAACTAACCATCACTTCCAATCATTTTTTCCTACTTTTACATCAAATCAACTTTAATTATTTTAATTTAAATATTATTTTAATATATCCACTAACAACTAACCATACCACTTTTTTTCAAAACTATCTATAGTTAAAAACAAACCAAATAAAAACTAGTTGAATCCATAAACAATCACCCCTTTAAGGTGGGGCTTACAAATGTGAAATATTAAGGGATTCATTTCGAGTGTATTCGTTTGCCTTGATGAATTGTACTTTCATCAAGGCGTAAATAGAACATGCTAAGTCGTCTAGTTAATAATAAAGCATGTTTCATGCATGCATAACTAAAACATGTTTAGTCGTCTAGTTAATGTTAGTGCATTATTGTTTATTGATCTTTCACACATATAAAAGTGTACCTTCACTTTTTCACCAACCTCTGAGCATTTGCAGCCACTCTGGCAATTGATTTTGTCTCCAGGTTCTTTAGGAACTGCTTCGAGTTTGTTTGGTTAGATATTATAAAATAGAACAGATTTACATAAAGTAGCCACAAGAAGAAGGGTATGACTACCCGAATACCTCTTTCCGTTTTTCAGATTTTTCATCAATTTTCAAGCCAGTACTTGGTGAGGGCACAATCGTATTCTTCCTACCCAGACCCGAGCTTTTGTGTGATCTGGTTATTAGCTTAAAGAAACTCAGAACTCGATCATAGAAATTTATATAAGCCAAAAACTCCATATGCAACAAATATTCTATTGAAAATAGTAAAAGCTATAATATACTTTACGCCTTTTTTTACCTTCCAAATGAGGAATTTAATAGAACAGATATCATTAAAATCGTATCTTAAATACTACAAGAAAGAATTTAATCGAAGGATTGTGTATAAAGAAAATACAGGATCGAAGCATGTATTTTACAGAAAATTAGTACTCATACATTAAGTTTAAGCCATATAATCTAATAACTCAATTCTTTCTTTCTTTCATTCTTTCTTTCTTTCTTTTTTCCACTCTTTTTTTTTTTTGCTTCTTTTATTGCATTCTCTACCATACAGAATCGACAGCTTCAGATCAGAGTCAAGGCGGGCTTTAACATCTATAGCCCATTAAAATAATAATGATTAAGAAATAGACTTTATGCAGAACTATATTTTCCTGATTTATAGTATAAGAGATTCTAGGACATGAACGGCAACTTTAATCGCATGAAACATCTTTACAATTGCAGAGATCATCGAAGCATTTCATCCTGAAGAAGCTGCTTCACTGTGAAACTTAAAGGACATTTCGTAGCAACATTTTCCCAAAAGAGCATATTTGGAAACAGTTTTAGCAATATTACAAAAAATAAATCTTAGCCAGATCATTGATTAAAGAAAGGGTTTCAAAATCTTACCCAGAGGGCAGAGGATTTGATTTAGATCCTGGATGACTCTTTGGGGTAGTTGTCTTCTCAGTGTCCTTCCTAAATCTGCATTGCAAATTAGTAACTAGTTTTACATTCAGAGCTAAGATTGTGAAAATTTAACATACGATTTTAATATAGGATTCGATTTATAAATAGATTCATAAATCACCAAGTGTAAAGATATACACATTTTTGGTTTGTTTCCTAAAACAAACTACTCCAACTATCAAAAACAAAAACCTGATCACAGATTACAAGACCTAATTATCAGATTTCAGAAACACAAAACTATATTAAGAAGTATGTAGTCTGGAAAATAACAAGCATGAAGCACCTTTCATATTACTATATTTTAGAAAGAAAAAAAAAAAAAAAAGATGCTCATGGAGACTAGCTACTACCATTCAAAGAATTATAACTGTATATGGCTTTGTTCCTAGTTATTCTAATGGAGGATCCAAAACGGACTGAGCAATCAAATGATAAAACTTGCAAACCATTTTGAAACGATTAACAAAAGAATTTTACCCGATATTCCCCTTTGTTGGAGTGCGAAAACTCGTGACCTTTGGCTCCAATACAGCCGAAGAAGAAACCTGTTCATAGTCTTATCAATATCAGAACTTTATGCACGCTCCTTATGGAATAGAAAGTACAAATAGCACCAAACAGAAAAAAAGAAAAAAAAAATGAACTCAACATATTAAGCTGCATACATTCTTCACCGAACTTGGTTTCTTATCAGCCATTAATGATCCATTAGCACGATTCTGAAAAGTCTTGAAAGCCCGCTTTACGATATCCTTATCTCCCATCCTCTCCATTATCAAAGAATTTCTCGTCATAGGGAGCCCTCCTAAAGAACTTGTGGGACCTAAACTAAGTGACATGTGCAATGATGTGGGTGTAATTTTTTTGCCTTTCTCAACCAAAAAGTCATTGCTTTTCGGGATTGGGGACCCATTTGTCTTCTTGTTTGAAGACTGAGAGGCTTGTTTAAGTGTTGTTGACATCAATGTTGGCTTTGAATACCGAGAAGCTGCTGCTTGCAATGGTTTTGTCAATGGCGATACAACTTTTTTCTTTGCCACAGCTGGAGTTTTATCCTTATTGGTTGGGGTTGTTACCTATACACCACAAAACAAATAGCTCAAGACACAAAAACCCAAGTTAAATAAATTTGATAAATATTATCACCTTCACAAAAAGTTTCCAGTTTTCACCTTTCGAGTTATGGTACGTGGGCTTGACTTGGAATTTTCCTTTTTCAGTACACTTGTTTGTTGTTCTCTGATACTTTTCTTAGCGGGACGTTTTGCCACTACACCTTGAGAGTCCTTCGGAGTAGTCTCTGGTTCAACAACTGATACAGAATCTTTTTCGACTTCGACTAATTTAGACTCATCCACATCATTGACATTCGTTTCGTGACCAACTTCCTCGACTTTCACGCTTTCACACTCCACAACAGCAATAATATCCTTTTTCTCCTCGTGTGAATTAACCTCATTCATTAAACTATTCATATAATAATTTCTAGACTCATCTCTCTCAGACAATCTATCACTATTTTCATCTTTGTTCACATTTAAAATGGAAGCATTTGGCTCTGCAGTCGCACATTCTTCGGCTAATTTCTCACCATTGGACAAACCATGACAACTATCAGGCTCAGATGAATTTTCAAAACTGTCTTCCTTGTTTAATGTCCGAACAATGGGACCAGCTGATTGTTCCTGCTCCATTTCCTCGGCTTTTTTAGCTGCAATCTTCTTGTAGTGTGCTTCAAAATATGCCTTCTTTTGGGCAACTGATCCCGGTGTAGATAAACTGCCCACTTCCTCTAAGTATTTATTTGGTGAAAAAGAGGACCATTTTTCCCAAGAAAGCTCATCATTTTCAAATCTACCGAAAGAAACTGAAACATCCAGTCGGGAGGTGGACTTTACAGACTCATCCATCTGTTTTCATAACATGAGATCTTTAACTCCAATAAGAATTTGAATCAAAATAAAAAATACTGTAATACACAATGCAAATGAGGCAAAGGTATGTAATCTAATAAAACTTCAAGTACCTATAATGGCATTGAAAAAAAAAAGGAAGAATACAGAAAGACCATTGAAAATAAAAATTCCATTAGTGCAAGATGCCTAAAACCAAAGAAAAGAAAAATATAATCTCTCTCTCTCTCTCTCTCTCTCTCTCTCTCTCTCTCTCTCTCTCTCTCTCTCTCACACACACACACACACACACACAGCAGAGAGGAAAACACACAGAAGGAGAGAAAGGGAGAGAATGAAGGAAACTAGAACCAATCCATGTGCTGTGTTAAGGTAAATTGTCTGTTCACTTCTTCTAGAAAATCCTAAACCTAAACAGCTTAATCAGCACAACAACAACAAGAGCACAGAAACACAAAACAACAAGCAGATAACCAAAAAGGCAAACATCATACACAGATCAAACACTTAACCCCACAACCAGTACAGTTCACAGTGTGAGCAAAAAAAGTTCAAAAAAA